CATGGAAAAGAAGAATTTCGATTGGTCGATTCCCTTATGCACTATGCGTTATGCGTTATGCAAGAGTCTGTGCTGTGGCCATTAAAATGCTAATACGGCTCTCTGGGCGGAATCCATAGACGGTGCTCAAGTTTCGAGATGGCTTAAGCTAGTGCATGAACCAATCAGACAGCCGTATTAGCATCTTAAGGCCGATATTCATACCGGCCTAAGACAATGGCTGCGTTCAGCAGACTCAACAGTTTTGCAACCGTTTTATGATTATCTGCTGAGATAGGACCATTCTTCTAGATCTAAAAGTATGATCCAATTAGCGCGAAGGAAACTTACAACAGTTGCAAAACAAACGTTCTGCTGAACGCACCCATTGCTTGAGATTAAGACCGGAATATGGATTCCGGCTTCTGATTGGTTCATGCACTAGCTTAAGACCATCTCGAATCTTGAGCATCGTCTATGGATTCCGCCCTAGATCTATAAATGCGTTCCGAAATACGCATGAAGCGCGTAGACTGCAATACTGATGCGCAACGCTTCGAAATCGTTCCATTTTTCCAATGCGCGCATAAAGCTGGTTCTACATTGATCGCATCGCAGCGTCGCAAGCGTGTCACAAGCGTTGCAGTCCAATCAGAGTCGAGCTAGCTTGACATTTATTGGACCGCAACATTTACGACGCTGCGATGCGACTAATGTAGAACCACCTCAACACGCATGAAGCGCTTGTGAATTCGGATAGGTTTCCTATGCGACCTATGCATTAGTATGCCGATGTTAAAAATGGACGGTCAACGAAATCTTAATAATCTTCATATAAAACTATCGTTTAATAACCCAGTAAATGAGAATAAATTGAAATGGATAGAAATGAATTCATTTGACATTTTCGAATTTGCGCTGTTGATTTTTCATATCCATTTGAATCCATGAATACATCCAAATTCAACATATTGAATAGCTCGTTTTGCGAACTTGGATAAATTAAAATATATTGCAATTTTTAATTCATTTCAATCCATTCTCGTTTACTGGGAACATAATAAATATATGAACGTTTTGACCTTATATTAAATCATTATCAGTATGTGTACAAAGTTGAAATTTTAAACAATGAACTTCTATAGAACACAATCATTCTGTAACGCTCACGCTTTCATATGACACTATATACTGCTCAAATTAAATTCGTGAATTTTAGTGAAATCCTTCAATTATACACTAATTTATCCTCTTTAGAATCATAACTGTAAATTGACCGAATGCTATTTTGTTGAAACG